GGGTGTGGTGGAGGTGAAGATCAGGTACAGACACCCAGAACTCTCCATGACAGAGTGCCACTGCCCCCTGAGGGCTGACTGCAGGAAGAGAAGGAGCACACAGAAACAAGGATTTCCTGGTGCCTCAGAGATCCTATTGAATTACCTAAATAATTAATGAAGCAATCTCATTGGGCTGAAAAATTGACAATCAGTGGATCTATATTTCAGAATGGTGCGAAGACCATGGTGGTCTCCTTGGATCTGTGTCACTATCAGTGAGAGGGGCACTAATAAAAACCTCAGTTTTCTATGCAGCTGTTTTTACATACTTCTAAGGATATTTCTTTGATAAATAAGTCAAATTCTGTTGGCATTAGCCACAGGTTAAAAAATATTAGAGTAGGATACACATGCATAGGGAATAAGGTCTCATAAATCTTGATGCCTTAAAAAAAATGCCATGAAAAAAAGAAGAGAAGAAAAATTACAGTTCCTTTGAAAGTTATTTATTAAAATATTTAATAAATATTTTTATTATTATTTTAAAATAATCCTGTTTTCCTAAGGAAAACAGAGTTTACAAATTAAGGCTTCTTGGAATACTGACACATTTATACCTCTATAGCACTTAATTATAATTAGCAACCAATACCTGATTCTCTGACAGTTAAGAGAAGTAGGGGATTTTGCCCTCAATTCCTGACCAAATTACAAATACCCCATGAGAAGTATGCCATACAGATACCTCATGCTGAGAAATCTGCAAAAAGGGAGAAAACTCGAAAGAGCTGCAAATTGAATGGAGCTGACTTCCATTTCCTGATACAGACTGTGAACTCTACAACGACCTCCATGTGTAACCCCAAGTATCATGAAATCACAGAATGGTTTGAGTTCAAACAGAATACATGTTTTTCTGACTTTTCTCACCCTCATTTCTTCCTGACATACTTCTTTAACACTGTTGACACACTATAAATTAGCTTCTGGTGTAATACTATCCTTAAAACATCATAGCATCATTATGCAGATTCCAGTAATGGTTCCACAGTAAAGCCCAAGGTGAAATTTGCAGATAAAACTTGCTTAAACTTGCCATGTTTCACAATGGACTAATGAATGCAGCTGTCCAGATGCCATTTTCCAGCACACCTCATTACAAAACAGGGGCTAACTTCTGCAAGCAAAGCATTCACAAAGCACTTGAAAAATACAGTCCCATCTACTCTGATCCCTGTCAAGCTTCTCAGTTCCAGCTCTGCTTTTCAACTGCCATCATTTTCTAACAGAAAAAAGTCAAACATACACAAAAAAACCCCAACAAAAGTGCAAAAAAACAAAACCAAAACCTAAATGAACACAAACACACCCTTAAGAAAAGAACAAAGTGAGTTGGGAAATAATCTTAACAGCAGGGAACTTCCATTGCTCTGCCACATTGGTGGCTGGCACAGTGGTGGAATGTTGAAGGAAAAGTATCCCCACACCCTACATTTAAATCATGGATGTGCCTGCAATGAGTCTCTAATTCTGACTAGGGCTTGACACTGCTGTGCTTGTGCAGTGGTCACACCACACTTCAGATTTAGAGGGGCATAACTGCTTTCCAAAGAGAACATTTAGCAGCAGAGATGGGAAAGAATGCATTGCAAAGATACAGAGCCTGAATAACTTTGCAGAAGTACCACAAAACCTTCTTTAATTTCTACTTGTCACAAAACAGAAGGAAATGCTTGTGATGGTTAAATTGGGCAGGGACAGTAACCATAATTAGACTTTTATAAAGATATTTTTCCCCCATTGGGGTTATGTAAAGATTTGTTTGTTTTATAACTGAAGGTCTCACGTAAAATTTAATTACCTTTATGATATTGTGGGATTTTTTTTAAAGAGAAAATAATTTGAATTTTTGTCTATAATTTTCTGGGCAGCATTTTTTACCACACCTAGGTAATCAAGCTTTACAGCTCTCTGTGTTTACTCCTAAGGTAAACTCAGCCTGATATTTACATCAACAGCCTTGGGCTGAAAGCACATAAGGCGTGAATCAGTCTCTGTGGAATCCTCAACAGAAGTTCTGGTTTGTGTGACATTATACAACTCTTAGCTGACCTAACTGTGATGGTCAGCAATGCAATAACTAGTCCAGAAATCAAACAAAAAACAACCACAACCAAAAAATCCATCACCTGCATGTGCTGTTGAGCTTCACTGAAACCATGGATAAAAGAGCGCAGTAGTCAAAAACATTGGCATGATTACAAACCCACAAAAATTACAAAAGGAAAGATGGGTCACATGAGAAGTAATTAATAGTTCATGTTTTATCTATATAATTTAGATAATGTATATATTTATATATTAATGAAAATAATTTACAAAGCTTATAGTTTGTAACAGAATGTGTTCCCATATTCTCCCTTATTACTAACCCCAATTCTAACCGACGTATTTTGCCCTGAAATTGAAAAGCCCCTCTCCCAGATACATTTGGAGGAAATAAACTCATACCAAATACCATTTTACAGCAAGCCTGCTAAATGCAGCAACCTATTCTAGCTCAAGGTCTTATCTTATGATATTTTAAGATTATAAATGCAGCAGGTGATGCCTTGTTGAGGAGTGTCATTGCAGTGTCATGTAAGAGGGCACTACTCCCTTTAAAGAGTTTGAAAAATGTGACAGGTATGGAAAAGTACCCAGGTGTGTGTCAGTGCACAGACTGTACTCCACTCCTGCAAATCCTAGTAGGATTTATTCTAACGAGAAAACAATTCAGGCTCCCATTGCTTATACGGAGCCTAGGGACATATCAGCATTTCCCTTCCTACCAGTTGTTGAGCCCTGATCACTAAGATGTGAAACAAGAGAACACTTCTTAAAAACATTGGCATACCTTTGTATAAATCATTTGTTCTATCAATTCATCAGCTTCTGCTTTACATGTCCATCAATAAGGTAGCCTAAATATTCTCAATGTTTTCATAGATTTCACAAAACTCTGAAACATTCTTTTTATGTTCAGCCTCAGTTTATTCCTCAGTATATTTATTTTTTCTCACACCACCATTGGCCTCCTAGCTTTATCTCCCTTCTCTAAGTTGCTTTCATGTAGAACAGACAGGTCCGTTCTCAATTGTTGCTGTAACAAATTAACCTACAGTCACCCAGAGTTCTCTCAAATGACAGGTTTTCCCTTTCCCATACATACTCCTTCATCCAAGCCTCTGCTGTGAGCTAATTTTCCTCAAATATGGGTGATATTCGAGCATAAAATTGTTCTACATAAAACCCTATCAGAACTTTGTTCAACAGTATTTCCCTTTTTCCACTGGAAATGTTCCAGCCTCTAACAGCTCTAGATCTCATTGCCTTTTTCAAATCCAAGTCATATCAATATCAAGTTCTGATTAAACACTGCTTCCTGTATTTGTTTTTCTTCCTTTTGAGGTGCTTAAAGTGCCTCAACTGGCAACTGAGCTAATCACAAACACGTGACTAAAAGTCTAGCCTGGTATAATATTTCCCACCTCAAAAGCAACAGACTTAGCAATACTTCTGTCCCAGATTAAGATTTTTAGGTGTGGCTCCAGATAAATTTTTTGCCTACTGGAGTTGATAGACTCCAAAGATTTTGCACTGAACTCTAGAAAAGTAAAGTTCAACATAACAACGTTTCTTGGCTATGAACAAATGTGGAGATATTAGAGAAGTGGAAAAATTAATTCAACCATTCTATTCCAAGGTACAGCACCCTTAAGAAAACAACACCACCTTTTGTTCTGTGCTCCTGCATTTTCCCAGGCAGAGCTTTTTCTAGGACACTGAGACCTTTACTAAGACTCCTGCTCCACAGAACTGGCTTAAACACTCTCAGCAGCAGGCCACCAGTGGTTTGCCCTCTCTGCTACTCCATCACAAGATTCTGCTCCCTCCTTTGCCTTTGGATTTCCTGTTTATCTGCTGCTGCCCTGAGCAACCTAACAAAGAAGCAGACCTTTTACCTTCACAGCATTATGGTGCTTGCATTTTAAGTTTAATTCCTCTTAGAATCACTGCAGATACAATAAGACCTGTTAAGGAAGTGACTGGACATGCTGTCAGAAGATCTGCTGCCACACAGAAGTTTGCCTTTGACACCGCAAGGGCAGACAAAAAAGCAGATATTTTCATAGGAAGTAATTGTTTTCTTATTAGAGTATGATATCCCATTAGTTATTCTATGTTGTTCCTTCATTATTTCAGGATTCAAAAATCCACAAAAGGAATTATTATAAAAATCTTCCAAAGTATTTTTTTAAATATAAGAATTAATTGCTTCCTTATACAACAGCATCAAGTGAACTTAAAAAATCTTAGTTGCCAAGCACTTAGCTGAAAAAATTCAGCTAGAGCTTATCAGCTGTGTAGAACATGGTCATCATCTGCAGAGGAAAATAAACCCATATTATTGTGAATGCAAAATGATCCTTGTCTATGGCAGTGTAGAAACCCCACAAAAGGAAGACTACTTTACCTGCAATACCTGTTGGTGTGAGTAGATGGTCTTGCAGATGCAGGCAGTGTGCTCTTTTTCCACTGTAATAACAGTTGATTAGATCAGAGGCTGAAGTACCTGGTTAATTCACCTAGTCCAATTTAAAACCAAGAAGTTTTTACAAACCCTTTTTAAAATTATTCTGCTGTAGGGACAATTAAAGCAAGGTGATTATGATTTCAGTATGAGTCAGTTGAATTCACCAGCACAACTTCCAGCTCTTACTAAGATAGCAAAGAAACACAGTTCCTGACCTTGAAAACTTGGTCACTTTCAATCTCTTAGTTGAAATGTGTTTTCCACTTTTTAAAGATTCTTTAGGAAGTAACTGGTATTATCTTGCTCATCCCCTTGATTAGGTGATCTGGAGTATAAAGTAAGTACAACGTTTTCTTTCTTTCTTGGCTCCTGATTTTCACCCACAAGCTATCAGCCTAGTTGTCTCTGACAAGTGAACTTAAGAAAAACTGTAAAGAATATGTCAGCAAAACTAATATTTATTAGAAGAGGAACACATTAAAAATGCATTAAGAATGATCTATAAGCCCTCACATAATTTCATAGGACAAACCTCTTGTCCTCAGTACTAAATCCAGAATTGGTACATTCAGCTCGATAGAAAAGCCATAAAAGTAAGTGCTAAAAAGTGCAAAAATGTAAAAAGCCACAAAAGTTCTTGTTTGCCACTGTTCTGCATTACATATTTTCCAACTGCATAACTCAGTACTTTTCTCACTTTATGCAAAGTGAGGTGAATCCTATCCCACAGCGTAGCAGCATCTTACATTATTTTATTAATTCATATTCATAAGGTGTACCTACCTTGACTACTGACATTTCTAAAATACATAGACACAAAAACTCCTTCAACAAAGGTCTGGGTGAATTATAAGCTGAAGGGTAAGGAAAAAATATCTAATTCAAACCCTTCAAAGGAGCCTTCCTTCCTCTTACACAGAAAGAGAAAGCTGAGACTTATGGCATTTTCATCATAGTTTCATCATTTCACAATGATCAAACTATACGAAGTAGTAACAAAATCCCACAATGTGCTTTTTATTGTTAAATATGAAAGATGTTTATTTCCTTGTTTACCAAACTTTTTTTTTTTTTTTTTTTACCAAAATAAGATACTCTGTATAAAATCTCAGGGAGAATAAAAGCCATTAAAATCCTTGAGAAGGGTAAGAAGGAAACTGAAACTATGAATGGCAAAATGGCAAGCAGGTACTGACAGTTTAGTCTTGAAAGCACATGGACATCAGCCAGGAGCAAGGTGAAAGCCAGAGGAGACATTTCCTCTCTCGTGTGTCATTTTTATCTGTGGAATTCTTCTTAAGATGACATAAATTGTAGAAGTTCCTGAAGGGAGGTTCTAAAGCAAGATATAAAAGCATAGAAGGAATCTGTTTCCTCAAACACCAACACACCTCTGACAAAAAGAGGTGCATCACTCAGCAGAGTCTGGAAGATTATTCTCCAGATGCTTGAATGGTTTGTATAGACCTCTCAAATCATCTGGAATCAGCCACTGTGATTTGAGCTGGGTAATTCCTCACTCTTCTCCACACGAGGAAGCAACATCCATGTTGTACTGTACATCCCTTGGGTTTTCATCAGAGGCATAACCTGGAATGAGTTTTCAGTGTCAGGTGTACTACTCCTCCTCAGGAAGAGAGTTTCCAGCTGCTCAGTCTCAGTGTTCTGTCTTGAACCTCACAGCTTTTGTACACTGCAGCCTCTCGGTATCCTCAGCCTTGGAAACTGCTCATGTATTTGACTTATTGGTGACTTTCTTCAACTTCCTCCTTTGCAGAGCCAAGTTTAGGGTTTTGAGGAGAGTGTCCTTGTTGTTCAGAACATTGTAGCGATTCACTTCCACTAACCTGCTGAAATCATATGGCTCAAAGGTGAAGTTTAGGGTACGGTAAGGGGAATCTTTTGACTCAATGATAAAGTCACCAAAGGATTTCTCTTCTTCTGACTCACGTTCAACTCCTGCAGCAAGAAAGAAAGAAAAAAAAAATATCACAAAAACCCTCTGCTGTAGTAGAATCATTTTAGTTGAATACTGCTAGGAGGATATCAGAGATTAATTCTGTTGAAATTTAACTTTTTCTCCAAAGCTCCTCCTCAGAGATATTAGCTCCTTCCAAAATATTTGAAAGCTGAAGGGGCAAAGTATTCCCTTTCTATTTCCACTTGGCTCCAAAATACAGAACTAAAATGTATTTCCATTGTGAAAAATTGTTAAGTTCATCTTTGATTATTATGCTCAAAATAAGAAATATAAAGCTCAGTTCTCCCTGGAAGTGCTGCTCTACACTAAAATGAAAGACAAACCTCAAGATGAACAGGCTCTAGGAATACCTTGCCCCTTAAATTTAAATACCAGTCTTAAAAGATGAGCATTAAAGTAGTTTACTGCAAACACTTTTGTGGGGAAAGGGGTGTTGTGAGCCTCTTCTCTCATCCTATCCTTCAAAAAACTAGTGTAAACTGATTCTGCCTTAAATGTAAATAACAGCTTAACAATTACAGAGTAATATTAAGAAGAATCAAAAGAGGAACATGGACCCCACTGAATTTTCCCCATCAGCACACCCAAAGAATTGTTAGAATAGTGCTTTAAGATGCAGCTTGCTTACCTGGAGCTTTGTATTTCTGGAAGGTGTCATTCACCAGTGGGAAATGGAGTACAATTGGAGCCTTTGGATTATTGTCATCCACAAACATGTAACACTCTTTTGGCTTCTTTTCATCTTCCTCACTAAATTTGATTTTTGGAAAAGGAATGTCCCGCTCCTCACAGTATTTCTGAGTCAGCTCTAAAACCTGTTACCAGAGGAAGAAGATAATTGCAATAGAACACCAGCAACACTTCTAAGACCATCTAACAACAATCCTCAAAGGGAAAGAGACTTGCATTAAAAAAAAAGAAAAAGAAAAGAAGTAACAGAAGCTCAGTTTCAAATCAGCAAAAACAATTTCTGTAGCTAGTAACATAGAAGAAAGAAGAGCAGAACTGCAACAAATATCAAGAGATTGCAGCTGAAGATTTTTATGCTTTCCTACTCTAAGTCTATTCACCTTGACTTTTCTGCACTTAATAATGAACACTTCAATGTACAGAAAATAACTTGTTTGCATGAAGAAAATCAACAATAGCCACTCTTTCTTTAGAAGCACATACCTAAGTAACAATGATCTTACGGGCCAAACAAATAGTCTTATTTTACTTAACAATCTGTTTAAGCTTCTAAAAATTTTTGAATCTTCTTACTGTCATCAACTTCCTATTTTCTCATGACCTTCACAGGAAAAAGAATAGCAAAATAATATTTGAAATGTCTTTTCACAGGAAGACAGGCCAAGAGTGGTGGGGCTGTTCAGCCTGGAGAAGAGAAGGCACTGGGGAGACCTTACAAGACTTGCCAGTACTAAAGGAGGCTTACAGGAGCTGAAGGGCATGTAGAGATAGGATAAGGGGGAAACAGCCCTAATCTGAAGGAGGGTAGGTTGAGATTAGATATTTGGAAGAAATCCTTCACTGTGAAGGTGTTGAGACACTGGCAGAGGTTGCCCAGAGAAGCTGTGGACTCCCCACCCCTGGAAGTGTTCAAGGCCAGGGCGGATAGGACTTTAAGCAAACTGGTTTGGTGGAAGGTGTCCCTGCCCATGGCAGGAGAGTTGAAATGAGATGATCCGCAATGTCCCTTCTAACCCAAACCATTCTGTGGTTCCATGAAAGACATAAGGATTTATTTTCATTTGTTGATTAGTGTTTGTATCCAGCTTCATCTGATCTGCTGCCACTGAGTATGATTCTGTGCTTTTATGTTCATGTAATAATGCTCAGCTACATCTCTCACCTCAAATGGAGCTTCCCAGGAAAAATTGAATGACAAGATAACATCCACATCCCTCTCTGGCTGAAGTACCAAAGGAAATGGAGAGTTGATGGAAAAGCCACCATCCACTAGATACAAGCTCTCTTCCATGGGAGTCAGCTGGTTGGGAAATGCATCCACGTGAGTACCTGTAAGACACTCCAAGTAACACAAGTAAATATATCGATTCATTGCACGTGTATTGGCAGAAGAAATAGACAAAGCTCATATTAGTGTTATAAGAAGAAAAAACACATTCCATCATGCACTTTCACCTGAGACAAACCTATAAATTCTGATGATCAGCTTGCCTTATACGACAGAACAAATACAGTAGATCAACATTTTTGCTATGGTGTAAGAAGGGATATAATTCCCTGGCTTCAGCAGAACAAAGTCAAGCTTACTTACGTTCCATTGGGATATTATATAGTGTATTAATGTTTTGTGATAGTCAGATACACATAAACTCCTTTACCTCTCCAAGTCACAAATTTCTTGATGTTAACATAATCTTTATGAAGATACAATCCCTTCATGAAGTTGAAGGTTTCTCCACATGTGACACGGGACTTGAAGAAATCCTGAAAAATTTGTAACAGCGGGCCCCCAGGTGTAACCAAGCGGGTCTTCAGCCGTGCTGGGTCTCGGAAATGGAATCTTCGGCAGTCATCTGCAGAAGTTACAGAAAGATGCAGAATACACACAAAATACCAGCTCCAACATTTCAATCAGGCCTTTTTGTACAATATATAACCCGTTATCCTAAGGCTGGATTTGTCCTCTAATTAGGGTATTGTAATGAAATTTAGATGAGATGCATATTCCATAGGTGGGTGATTTACTAGCCCTGTTTAACAGGAAAAGCTTTACTCATAAAGCATTGCCCATATTAATTTCAAACCCACACAAGGGAACACTTGTTACTAAGTGACAACCACTTCTGTCACATAAGACATCAGTCAACCACACACAGCAGGATTTATAACTACACAAAACAAAAAGGGTGGGGTGTGCTGGGAACCTGGGCTGGAAAGGCAGAGGAAAGAAAAAATCTCTTTTTCCACTAGTTACTATAAGGCCATAACTATGCACACGAACAAGTCCCAGCCTCTAAAACTGTAATGCACAAATGGAGATCAATGACTAAGCATACAACCATAGGGGAAACTGAAAGCCTCTTTTTTCCATCTTCTGTTTAGCAATCCAGCTTCTATTCTTCCTCTTCTCAGGATTATGATGCCTGCACTTTAATGTGTTTAAGACAGCTCCCAGAACTAGCCCAAATTTTAGCCAAAGTCAGATAAAAATTCTTTTCAAAAGAAGAGGAAGTACACTAAAGAAACTATTTTTCTTCTCTATAAGTGATCAAAGGGAATAACACACTATAAGAGAGATCTGTCCCAATCCACCCTTTGTGCTAATCTTGAAAATTACATACAGCACATTTTTGCATCATATTATTTGTGATTACTACAAAATCATCCATCTTTTGAAAAATCCAACTCTTTTTATGTATGTTCTTACCTACAACTTTGATAACATCTTTGAAAGAATCTAGAAAGCTCAGTCCTATACCAACCACCTTCAGGCAGATATCATCCAAGCTTGCAGCAAAGGCACTGCCCCACATTCCTGCAGGAGAAATGCAGAAGAATTTAACACTCAAAAGGTTTTTCACAGAACCAAAATACCTATAATTCACCCAACATTTTTCATGGGAGAGGGCTATCACTTGATTCCCTACTATTCTAAGAGTTTGAGTTAAAACCTTGGTGTTAATCATGTGAGAAATTACGATGTTACAATATAATGCAGAAAATTTTCCAAGAGAAAATCACAAAAAAGACAGTAAGAGAGCAGGAAGACTGACAGTAGACATTTTTGAAAGGCAGCTCTTGCAGACTCAGGACATCAGACTATAGCACTGTGAACCAGCTATGAACCTAAAGCTCTGGAGAAAAATCAACATGTTTCACTTCTTCAAGTCCATTGGAAGGGAAAAATGTCACAGACTTGAGTTCATACGTTCCCAAAGCAGCAAAGTTCCTTTCCATCTCCTTATGTGATAATTTAAACATAATCATAAGGTCATACCTTGTAGAAAACAAATCCTGGGCTCTGGATGTTTCTGGACAAGCCGTCCCATGAAGAACTCGCTGTCAAAATTCTCTGTCCGAACAAAAGCTCCATATTTGCGAAATCCAACTTCATAGGGAGTGAACTCACACCATTCTAAGAACAAGCCAACAGGATATTTACTCATCTCAGAGTAAACATGAGCGAAAATATTTATCTGATATCCGTTCACACAGGGCAGACAGAAGGGACTCTCCCCCCACTTTTCACAATCACTATGGATTTCTCTGCCCCTCTGCTCTAGTTTTTATATACATATAATTAACAAAAACTCTTGTGAAGGCTTTCATTCCATCTTGCTCCCTCTTGACTTTGTTACTACAGAAATAGCCTGCCTATTTTGCTTTTAATTTAAACCATTTTGATGGCTCCCTCTTCCATTCAAAATGGAAGCCACACTATTTTTCTCAGCTTTTCTTTGCACTAAGAGCCATATCCCAGGAACTGGCTTGAAAACTCGATTAACCCACTGTGTTCTTTTCAAAGTTCCTCATCATGCTTGAAAGATCTCCACAAAGAATTGAAAAATAAGGGTCATCCAGTCAACTCCTGGGCCTGCACAGATCAACCTGACAAAACACAGCATGCATCTGCAAGCATTATCCAAATCCTTCTTGAACTCTGGCAGGTTGGACCAAATTGAATTCACTGCCATACACACACACTCCTCAGAATAAAACAGACAAGTCCCCTCGTGGTACACAGATGGACACAAGCATTTGTGTTCCTGTCTCACTCATCCATCCCCACTTGTTGCATCATATTCGAAGTAATATACTGGTCTTCATAGACCAGTCTTCAGATTTTTACTGTAATAACTCAGACCACTAAAACAAAGTGGTTTCCTTATTACCAAGGCCTCATTCTTTGATTCAGACAGAGGCATATGTAATACAGGAATCCTCTCAGCTCCTGAAAATTTCAGGCAGTTTCTAGCAAAACGTGTGGAGTGGCCAACAGTTCTGAATCTCATTTCACCATTTTAGCCATGAAGACTTTTGCTATCAGGGTAATGATACTTTGTCAATCAGTTTCCTATTGCCTCTTGCACTACCAACTGCTGCTTGAGCTGTTTCCTGTTATCAGCTGCTCACTGCCCAAGCAGCTGGATAGATGAAATAAATTTGTGGACTTCAGCAAACAAAAATACATTTCTATGTTCATACCTGCAAAGTCACCACTGCTCATATTGGGTCTCACATTGACAGCTGCATAGATAGGATAAGGGTTCTGGGCCCATTTCACTGCTTCTTGCTGATCAGACAGCTTTGATGAATCTTCCTGGTCACAAGCAAGGAAGGAGGAGCCCACTTAAGTCAGGTAAATTCTGTACCCACAGTTTGATAACTGGTAGCTGTTGCTTAGCATTTCTAATTAACAACACTACTAATCCAAAGCCCCTTTTCCTCTCCACTGTCTATGGTTAGATTTGTCCAAAATATTTCTGCAGCTGTGTATTTAGAATATTTAATGTTAATAATGAATTAGCTATCCCTCTGATTTTCAATGTCAATTACATAGAAAATACTGCACAATAATTGTTCCACAAAACCAACATCATTCTGCCAGGCTTAACCTGCCCAGTAAAAAAGCTGTTATTTTAATAATAGTCATTCCAAATAAACACTGCATTTTTCTGTTACACTGATCTGTATGAATTAAAAATTCTTTACTAAAGAAGATACTATGTTTATTCCACAGCCTATACAGAGGCGGACAGTAATTAGTTTCTTGACTCTAAACACATGGCTCGGTAGAGTTCCCACTTGAAAGACAAACAGCAGTACACATCCAAACACGAATTCTTTTACCTCTTGTTGCAGGAAATATTCCACAATAAGGCCCCACAAATCTGTAAAGGAAACTTTCCGTCCAGTGATCTCCATTGCATTCAGCTCCTGGAAATAGTATTTCAGTCGTTCTGGGGAAAATGCCCCTGCTTTGCTGCTGGACACAGTGTCCTGAGCTCTTATGATTGCATCTTGAAGGTCTTTCTGTGACCAGTCAGGGTCTCGATACAGTGTTGATAGACACCTGAAAATGGTTTTATTAATGTCATCAGTAATAAAGACCTTTGTGTAAACAAAAATTTTAACTAGCTATAATTAGTGCTGCAGCACTTGAGAAGTCTAGCTAAAAGAGTGAAGAATCCATAAATAAAAGATCTCTGAACTCTAAATTGTGCTGAAAACCCTGACAGCTATAGGACATCTTTGTTCTGATTGTTAACCTGCCTTTCAGAGATGTTCCAAGCATCCTATGCTAACACCCATGAACCAGCCCATAAACATATGTTAACTCCAGAACAAAACAACCACGACATGCTGGCTGATGGCAAGGATGCCATGGCCATGGCCTTTACCAGAAGAAAGGTCTGACTGAAAGAGAAGCTAGTTTGGACCACTGACTATCTGTACAAACAGATGCCCACATGAGTTTGGAAGTGTGTCTGAACCAAAAGGGGCAGGAGAACTAGGTACAGAGGAGCTAATTTAACACACAAGGCTTGGAAGAAAGAATTACACTGTCAGGTTGCACAACTCCTCTGTGAAATAATTTCACAAAACAAGGGATGACTTCACCACAAGCTCCAAGAACTGAGCAACTGAACATTCTAGCCATGTCTAATATTTCAGCACATTGCTCCAGTCCATCAAAGGGCAAGACAGTGCTATGCCTCTCTTCAGCCTCTGCACCGTTTTGGAAGGTGGTGACCTAGTGGCCTGCATGGACATGCTTTCAGAGACTTGCACCACCTCAGTTATCTTCCTGGCAAGAGTAGGGGAATGAGGAAGGATTTTAAGTCAGTGCTCTGAAGTACTAACAGCAGTTTTACTCATGTAATACATTCTAATATTCAACTGCCAGACTTGCACAAGCAGCAGATTCATCATTTTAGCCAGTAGCTAACGGGTTGGACACAATACTGGATCTCTTAGACTGTTCAGGATCCCCAAAAGAACTCACAGGTGAAAACTGGTAAAATACTTGATTTGCTGTCTGCCTACAGATGGCACAAATGTAATTTTGGCCTTATTTTGAATCAACACTACCATTTCACCTCTAGGTTTCTGAATCAAAACTGCATGTAGCTTACCAAGTGGAGCCAGAAATGCCACAGAGGTATATTGCAGCATCCAGAAGGCCCAGCTGCTGCAGCCCAGCCAGGCTGCCATAGAGGGATGTCAGTGCTCTCATCCCACCTCCAGAGCCCAGCACTGCCACGACTGGAACCTGCAGACAGCAAACTCAGGAGTCACAACCACAGGCTTTTGATGGCCAATAAATTACAGAACTAACCCCACTGCAGTCTCGTTTGAACAACAAATAGAACATAAAAAAATAAAGATTTATATCTCTATTTTATATCTCTATCTACATTACAAGTAATTTTAGGGTTGATTCCAAGATGAACTTCTTCTCTATTTTGTAATTGAAAGATATTGCTTACTATAAAGCATAGCACATCATCTTAGGGACAGTCACTTACTGAAATTGCTATGTATATTATCACACACTTTCATACAACACACATGTAAGAGGCAATTAGTCTTGTAACAGCAGCCAATACCACTGAGCAAGGTATTAGGATACGTAGATGTAAGTTTCCTCAAATAAGTGATGGCCAATAAATTACAGAACTAACCCCATTTCAGTCTCATCTGAACAACAAATAGAACATTAAAGTAGAGATATAAAATAGAGATATAAACATTTATTTCTATCTACATTAGAAGTAATTTGGGTTGATTCCAAGCTGAATTTCTTTCTCTATTTTGTAATTGAAATATATTGCTTACTATAAAGCATAGCACAGTCATCTTGGAGACAGTCACTTACTGAAATTGCTATGGATATTATCACATATTTACTTTCATACAATACACATGTAAGACGCAATTAACCTTGTAACAGTAGCCAAATACCACTGAGCAAGGATATGTAAATGTAAGTTTCCCCAAATAAGCAATTAAGAATCTATTCCTGTGGTGTGAGTTTCATTTTAAACATTCCGAAACAAAATTTCCCATCACAATTCCAAGCACAAAGCCCAAGATACAAGAGTTCCAGTACAGTACATACATGCTGAAATTCCAACATTTGTGTCCCAAAACACACACACCTCCCTAAAAGTTTAAGAGATATAAAAACATTTAGACTTCAAAACTGAAATGTACCAGAGATCCGTCTCCCACCATAGTGAATGCAAACCATGTATCTTGTTGGTTACAAGCAAGGATTTTACCAGTCTCACTATAGGACTGTGCTCAATACCTCATCTTTTGGAGGGGATTCTTTTAATTGAAGAGTCTTCCTCAGTGCCTCAGAAACTACCTTCTTCCTTTTGTCCAAAAATTCTCTCTCCTCTTTACAGAGATCAAAACCAAGACGTATATCAAGATCCCAAGAACTGAAATAGAAGTTAAGGAAAGAACATTGACATTTTGTCGGATTTGTAATCAGTATGGAAATGCAATTTTTTGTGAACACACGATCTAGGTGCAGATCTGAACTGGATCAGGTGAAATTTTAGTGTATACATCAGTTATTTTGTACAAGAGCTTTTGGAATTAAAATTTAAATTCTCCATATTGTAATTCTCCTTTAATGTTTAAATTTGAAGCTTCTGTCAAACAGTACTCAGATTAAGCTTCAGGAATTTCACAAAGGAAGAAAAGATTCTTTGTAAGCAAGATCCTTCTTTGTGAAGAAGATTGTAAGAGGAACAACTTGACATCACTGTATCAATATGACCATGAAATGAGGGGAAGAGGGGTTTTAAAACAGAAGATTCTGAACTTAAGAGGCAGGAGGAGGCAACTGAATACCAATGAACTTGTAAATACCAATGAGGCTGTAAAACAGGAGCAAAATCTTCAGCTGGTGACTGGATACCAAATGACCCTATCAACTTGCAAGCCAACTTCTTGGTTTTCTGGGGCTTTTTTGCCCTTTTTACTCCTTTCTTGCAGCCTTCATCCATTTTATAGTTCAAGCTCTTCACACATATACGTCCTTGCCTGTCTGTCATTACATCACTTCATGTATTCTGGTATACCTGTGCATGACAAAACTACTTAATATGTACATCAATAGCTATTTTACATTTAAGGGTTAGGAACACAAAATTTGTACATGTGTCAGCAGGATTGACACCATCCAATAGATAATATCTGCAAAGCAAAGAGTCACAGCCTCCAGAAAATTATCAAAAAAACCTATCAAATATATTTTTCTTTAATCTATCCCAAGAGGACAATGGAGTGAACAGACCTCCCCAGAACAGCAAGGAGAGTCACTCAGTTCCTTTATATGAGAATAAAAACCTTTCCTGATTTTCAAGTGGGGCTCCCACTCACCTCTCTTCAGTTTTCAAACTCATATCCAAACTTTTTCCCTGTGAAAAGAGAGAACACATATTGAAGTTGACAGCAATTACACAGGTAGAACTACAAAATCAAAGTTATGAATTATTTCCTCTACAAGGTCTTGCTTTTTCTCCTCCTCTGATACTTTTCACACCCCGAAAATACTTTTTTTTCTTCAGAAACTGATGAACTTTGTACTTCATTTTGCAAGACCATGAAAACACATTAGGAAGAACCACACTGAGCAATCTCATTACTTCATTCTAAGACATCCGAGAAAACAGCACTCCTGAGAATCAATCACATGTTGCCTAACTTGCCAAACACCTAGAGGCAATAGAGGAAAAGGTTATCTCATGCACATTACAGCAAGAGCAAAATATTGACAATACCTCTCCCAAAGAAAGGATTCTATCAACTTTTTCTCCAATAGGAAGGGAATTAACTGGTAGAGTCCCCAGTCCCAGAACTGTAGTGTGCTTTTCAATATCAGGGTTCACACCATCCTAATAAAAACAAAATCTTATGTGAGATTCACAGAAGAAAGTTTAGAAAAATTATTTTCATACATTGAAACAGCAAACAATTCTTAATATCACTATAGCTAAATATTTACCAAATATTATTACCAAATGTCCAACGCTTTTTGAGGGCACTCTGCTTTTTGCTTGGCAAGTGTTTGCAGGGGTATTTCATTCACTCAAATAGTTTCTTTGTTGTTGTTGTTTGGTTTAGTTTTAGGGGTGTTTTGTTTATTGTTATTGGGGTTTTTTTTTAATATACCTGTCTGCCATAATTTAAGAAAATCTTCAAGTACAAAATTTCCTCCACAAATAGTTTTGTTCTGGCATGTGTCAGAAAACACACAAACAAACTTGCTTTCCATCTTCCAATAAAGACTTGGAAAAGATACCAAAAAAGGTAGCAGCATAACACATACATCAACAATACCACAATATACGAAATAAGGCAGTATATAATTTTTAAAAAAACTTTAAAACCAGAGCGAACTAAAGCTTGCCAGGAAATATTTGAATTTTCTGTCATGTAGCAAATGGCAAGATCTCATAATACAGAACTGTGTGCAGGTTCCTAAATGTAAAGAGGCAATATTAAAAACCCCTCATATCAGAGGGTCACGCAAACCTCCAGAGCCTCCAGGTGGGCTGGAGCCCACACACCAGCTCAGGGCTCAGCCCTCGGGAGGACACTGCTCCTTAGAGCAAAACCAGGCTGTCACCCTTCTCCCACCAAGAGCTGAAATCAGGCCAGGAACCACCCACGGACTCCACAGGCGTCTTCTGACCAACAACGGCTGTCCTGAGACCAATGTCCCTCTAAGCTCCCTCTCCTCTTCCTAACAGGGGCAAACAACGTGCATTTAGGTACAGGGCAAGAAACACTACAACATTCCTGTCACTCTCTCACATCTGATAAGAGAGAAAAGGTCAGACTGAAGACTTCTGTGGTCTATGCCACTTGATGGAGGAGCATGTTCTGCTAACTACCAGAGCTGGCTAGCAGAGGTTCACCACCTGGGGCAGTCTCCATAGTTGACCTCTACAGTGTGTTTTACTTGCCTGGCTCTGAGGTTTTGATCACTCAAGCCCAGGTCTCTTTGTTCAGCTCATGTTTGCTGCCTAACAAACTCCCTGGCAAAGCTGTTCTTCCATGTCCTTCTTTGTGTTCTCTTCTCCATAGCTACCCCTACATTAGCCAAGATCACCATTTGCAATCGCGCTACCCAATTACTTGTTGGGATAAAAAACACCATAGAATAAAGAGTTTCCTTGCTCTCATTCTTAGAGAATGAATATTCAGTCACTACATGGAGAAATTGCAAAGTAAAAGACAAACCTAAATAAACCTCTGCAACTGATCTACAAGTTTCTAATAGAAAAGAATTCATATAGAGTATCTCAAAAGGTGAAAGTGAAGACGACTACATGTAGCAAGCATGTACAGAGTAACATTTTCTTAATCCCTGAATTTGAACAGATGTTAAATCTTTGGGGAGCATAGACTCTTAAGGTAATTTCAGCTCCTTACAGAACATCAAAGATCCAATGCATAACCCGACATTAAAAAAAAAAAAAAAAAAGAGATAATGTGTAAAACACAACAATAGAGGAAAACTTATCTCTCTGTAAGCTTTATGGAATCAGCATGGATGCTTACCTGTAGGACAGACATAGTTTGCTGCAACTCCACTTGCAGTTCTGGACACATTTCTTTATCCACATGAAAGACAAATGAGGTTCCATAATCCTTCTCATTGTCTGGTGTCCAAGGAATAGACAACTGCTTTTGATATGCCCCTGGGACAGACACCTTGACCTCACAGCATCCTGTGCATTAGAAAAAAAAGTTTAGGCTATAGGGGCCATTTGTTGAAAATCAAGTATTAAGTGTAGCTGAGACCATGAAAACACAAGTGAAAATTCTATTGTGGGGTACCCAGTAGAAAATACCCAATATTATTAATTATTGAAAATAAATGCAAAATTTACTTTAACAGCCAATTTTGTAGCCAGTAAATTAAAACGCACTACATAGACAGAGAATCAAGTCTCTCCTCCCTCTCAAGGAACAAACATGTTCAAGAGTAGTCCTGATTAAACTCTCCGGGCAGCCCTACCTTGCTGTTTCTCTTTGGCGTTTTCCTCTTTGTTGACAGTGCCTTGCAGACACAAGCAAGGACGAACCTGTGAAAAAAAGAAACCAGCTCTGGTCACACAATTGTTAGCACACTTCTTTGTTAGATGTTTAATTCACCTACTATATCAGTTGTAGGTTTACAGTTGCAAACAGTCAAAAAAACCCATTAGGCATTGTTTTGTTATTTCAAATAAAGACCAAATTTTGTTTCAGTAGGACAGGATTATTAGCTTTTGTTTCAAAATAAAAACCATCCTTTCTATTCCAAGAACTGTGGCTTTTTACACCCAGTACTTCACAGTTACAAGCACTTCATAAATTTCTGTCCCAGCTTGTCTATTCAGCCATCAGCTTACCCTCTAGGACAGTAGATGAGAGATTGATTTTGACACAATTGCCCTAAAAGATAAGAAACTACTCCACTGCTTGAATTAAGACTGACTTGCTGAGGGAAATTAGAACACAAAAGGTTCCTTCCTAGGAAATAATTTTCAGAAATGTGCTGTTAAATGCCACCAATTTTTCAGGGGGAAAAAACGTTAAAACTCTATATTTCAACCATAATTTCAACCGTAATGCTTCTCTCCTTACAAAAAAAAAAAAAGCATGACTACAGTCCCTTTTCTTTCAAGAGAGCAAAGAGGTAGTAACACTTATTTTTAATTATTTTCTTAGATTTATTAACCCAAAACACAGGAAGTGATCCCCTACTTAATAATGGCATTGACAAAAGCTTAGAAATAATATGTGTTAAAGCAAGAAGAGGGACTCTTTCTGGGCAGCATCTAGTCTAGAAAACACAGTACAATCTTCAAGATTCACTTGCCTGCTAAAGACATTTTTTACAAATGTTATGACAGGGAAAAAGCAAAGAAACAAACACCTCCAAAAAAAATCTGCAGCTTTCTGTAAGTTGGCATCAAGCTTAAAAATTGAGGAAGATTTTTGAATCAACAAATTGAAAAGGAGAGAGGCAGATCTTGGAGAGAATAGGAGCTGTTTGGAAGTAGGGCTGTAATACTCAAAAATCCTTCTCTTTCCACTAGAAACTTATCTTGAGGAGTAAATCACAGCACACACGATTCTGGTTTCCATGTACTCACCACAAGGACTCCATTGGTCAATACTTCTGTAGGGGCATCTGAGCTGTGAAAGCAAGAGGTTTGTTGTAAATGACAACTGGTTTTAATTTTGCTTCATCCTACTTTACAAACGAATTGGCTGAATAAGCAGTGGGATGAAAAGGTCCTCGGTGTGGGAGATGCAGGGAAACAGCAAGTATATTTCCTTTCACAAAAGAATGGGGGCTTGGAAAAATTGAAGAAAAAAATTTGTCTACAAATATAAGCATGTGCTATAGGATCTCCCCATTCCAGTTATTTTGATAATCTAGAGAAAAGCTGACCTTAGATAGACTACCAGATTGATAAAGTATACATTTGTGTATTTTTTAAGGTTAACTGAAACTTTCCACCCCCAAATAACTAATCCAGAAAGTGTTCACGAATGTCCCATGAAGTCCAGCAAAATTTTATTTCATTTTACCCCTAAAATTTTGGTGACTGGAGTATTAAGGATAATTTTGGCCAGCCATTAGTGAATCAACTCAATCACCACAGAGAACTATGAAGTATTATCCTTTTTATGAGCAAGACTATCCCCACACAAAAAAAGCAACTGGTAACAGATCTGCAGAGCACGAGCGCAATCAGCTCTTCAGGTAAGACTCACCATTTCTCCAAGAAAAACTCTACATCCAGCTCTTCATTAGCCTTTGAAAATAAAAGTTGGATGTGGGTGATCCTTGATCCTGAATATATAATAAAACACATTTTTTCCAACAAATTAAGCTTTTCTCCTGTTACATAGTAACAGCAACTTCCTGTTAAAATAACTGCATTTGCTCCTTTTATAAAAGCTCCAATTAAATTTGTAAATGGTTAATGTAGCCTTTAGCCTTTAAATATTCCTCTTCTGCTGGACACATCCTGTATGACCAGACACATTTACATTTGAAGACACAAGTGCACGGAAGTGAGAGTTGTCTCCCAGATCCATTACTCTGCTGATTAGAGAAAAAAACTTCCTCTGTCTCAAGAACCACTGCAGCATCATCTCTGCAAACAACTTCTACATGATGCTTTGGGTTTCTTCCCATTTCTTGGGAAGCACTTGCACTCTTAGCTCCTTGCTGTCTTTGTCCTCCACAGACTTCATTCTAACCAAAGTCTTTTCTCCTCCCATAGCATACAGCAAATATTTGATACCAGGCCTAACACAGCTTTTAAAGTAACAAACTAGAATCTGTTTTGAATCATTGTCTTTGCTGAAATTGAAATTTCCAGTCTCTTAATTACAGATCAAGATGACTTAAGCATTCAGCAAATGGATAGAGCTACTGGGAGCAATGGAATTACTAAGCCTCTTCCCATGATCATGAATGATTTGGAGTGCCTGTGGCACTGCCCAACACCTCTCTGTGAACTGCACACCAGTTAGCCTGCTTCTGACCACACCAACAGCACTGAAGCCCTATTTCTCAAGAAAACACATCATTAGTCACCTTTACTCTAGACCTATTGTAGCAATGTGTTTGTGGCATTACAAAACAGATCAGTCTGGTGATGTGGCTTTTACAGACATAAAACAGGCTGTCTTCTAAGTCCATAAACAGGAGAACAGCTGCTTTTGAGAGCAGCTGATCACCAATACCATCTTCATGAAGCAGAGGTTAAATGTACTGAACATAACCCTGGGAAAATAAACATCTCTTAGGCTTTTGACTTATCAGGTAACCTTTGCAGCAATAAACTTTTTTTTTTTTTTGCAAACAGATGATGACAAACTAAATAAGACAGTCCCTACAATGATTACTGACTGCAAATGCCTTTCACTTTAAAACCAGTTTATGCTAAGTCTCATGAAAAACTGATTTCATTTAAAGATGTTTTAACATTCCTGAAAGACAGCAGTAATCCCAAATTTCATTTAGCTGGAGCATCCCAAGGACTGTGGAAAACACACAAATGAAGTTACTAGAGAACTTGGAAACATCTCAGTTGACAGTAAAACCATATGTGCTGTCATCACCAGCTGACTGATCTCTCCCTTCTGGCTTCTCCATACAGATGAACCAGCCAGCAGGCCCTGCCAGCTCTGTGCAGGGCAGAGCTGAGCCAGGGGCTCACCTCGGGGTCCAGGCTGAAGGTGCGCAGCAGGGGCTCCCCTGGCCTCATGCCCCCCACGTCGAAGATGACAGAGGTGAGCTCATCACTGACAAGGACATCCTTATCATAGAGGGTCAGCTCCAGAATGTTCTAAAAGCAGAAAGAAACAAACAGCCTAAGATGAAGGGGCAGAAACACTGACAAACCTGGGGAACTGCATACAGTGGACACTTTGTGCATTAATCAATACCCTTCCTCTTTCCCAATCCTAAGGAAAAGTCAGTATTTTCAGCAGGGCTTACAGCATAGTTAAGCAAAAAATTCTCCTAGTTGACACCATTTAGCTAAAGTATTTTCTCAGCTTCCCACTTACAGAGAGGTCCCATCTGAATTCATGTGGCAGTGCTCTCCACCAGCTCCAGGCACAGATTTGCCTGAGGAAGCAACAGCCTTTTCCACTCTTTCATGGTGATTTAGTCCAGGATGTTATAGGGACCAATCACTTCCTGCTCAGCACTGTCTCAGAGATGGTAAATTCAAGAGAAACTGAAATAGATACAGTGAGGAGATATGGCACCCAAATAATAGCCTTGCAGCAACTAGTTCTCAAGGAGACAAGACTGAACTTGGAATTTTGGTGGCAGTCTCCAGCAGTAACCAGGCTGAGGTCTCATGAGCCTGGAGGGAAAGAAAAAGATCCCACACCCTAAAGTTTAGCTTTCAATTTTCTTACCAGTCAAGTCAATTACCATTCCACATTTGTCACCAACCACTGTGGAAAGGTGAGGTGGGATATTTCTTGTCAATAGAGACCTTATTCCAAAGCCTGGGATGTTATTCAAAGCACTAGTACCCCACTAAAACTGATCTTTTAAAGTACAGTTTCCTTCCCCCTACCATCAATGTCTGCTTTGAGAATGAATGCTGACCGTCTGAAGACTTTGTTAAATACTGTATTAAGTCCTACATAGAGAGCAGATGCACAGTCTCTACCCAAGAGTTTGAATCTGGTTTTCTCAATCATCAGAACTGATGGCAAAACCTGACTGAATGAACTACGTGGCAGTGAGTAGAAATTTAGTTCCTGTGAAAGAAGAAGAAAACATCAAATAGGAACTTGATTAATCAAGGAATTTCCTTGAATTCCACCAGGTACTGCCATAACTTCCCTTTCCTGAGATGCGTCATAAGGATGCTTATGGAAAATTCTAGCTGCAACGTACTTGAGAGCAGTTAAACACAGCAGTTTTGGTACAGCTTTTTGTACCACTGAAGACAACTAACACCTTACAAGCAGCACTAGTTTTGAGGGTAATACAGAACCCTTGGTTTTGAATGAAGTATCAAAAGCAAGCCAGTACAAATATACAAGTAGTCTAATCTGCTCCATAGAGTGTCCTTACCTTGACAGCACTATGGATCCGATACTGGAAAGTTTCATTCCATTCTGGGTTCTCAGAGTTGTCAACAACCTGAGTTCGGGAGACATTGGGAGACGCAGTGGGCAGCTTTAGTTCCACATAGCAGTCTGCCTTGGACACTGCAGCAGAGAGTGAGACAGACACCAGAAAAGCTTTAGTCAAACATACTCTTTCCCATGAGCTCCTCATTTTCTAGATCTCGTTACATCATAGAAAAGTGCAAACTTAAGGCTGGACATCTAAAGCAAAAGCCTTTAATGAAGTAAATGTCTTTAAACAGAAGCAAATTGAATATTAGGTGCCTGTATTTCTTTTTCCTGATTCATCAAAATCATGAAGTCCTTAATAAAAAATGCTAGCATTTAAAATTAGGAAAATCATCTTTTTAAGAGAGATTACTGCTGATACCAGGTCTATTGCCTCTTCTCCTATCCCTGGGCACCACTGAAAGAGCCTAAGCCTACTAAAGTCCAAGGAGACAACATCCACTACTGCTGTACCCTTGTTTAGTCAGGCCAGGAGCTGGGCTGTTTCCATTCCCTGAAAAAAATTATCGTCTCAGAGCCCTTCCATTTAGGGCCCCTTCAACAATTCAAGTATGGAAACTGTTCTTCACTCCAGCTGAATAGACAGGCCATAGAAAAGAACTCTTCACAACATGATTCTAGCCCTCAGCTTCTCAGGAGGCTTTTCTGTTCCCTGAACAGCTATTTGGCATTCCAAGTAGTTCAATGCTGGATGCCAGATATAAACTTAAGGCAGATTATCTTACTTGACTTAATCTGGAGTAATTTAATATAAATGAGTTTTAAATATCCAAATGCCCCAAACAGCCCTGAGATCTTTACACAGGTGTGTAAATGGGAGGGAATATATACCATGTTATCAAAACCAGGAACAGATTAAAAGCAGTTTATCTTGGAAGCAGTCAACCACCTACTTCCTTTAAAGTCTGCAATGACAAACAAATAGCAGGTACATGGAATAAAGCACTAGAACAACTGAGAAAATAAACATTTGAAAGCCAGAATTAAAGATTTCTGCTTCCAGTTTCAGGAAGACTGTTCAGCAGGAGCAAGGGTGAAACTCGCCATACCCAGAAGGCTGAATCCAGAGAAAGGAATACAGAATGAGCCACAGTATAAGAGGTAAAGGAGGGAAGCAAAACATTACCAGGACTTACTTGATCTTGTTTCTGCAAAGTAAGAACAGCTGCAGCTGCTTAATCTGCAGATTGATTAAACTTTTGAAATATAGACATACTATATCATAGATATACTATACTATATATATAAATGTACTATATTTATATAGTAAATTAATATCTATATATTAGTAATATATATAAAAATTAGTATACATATTAGTGCATATATATTTATATAGTATTATATACTATATAAATATACTATATATAATACTTTACATGAGAAGCTTTTATTGAGACATAAAGGCAATGCAATACGTGTAGATAAGAGGCTGCCTTAACAATGCTCTCTGTGCTGGAGGTATGCACCAAGAAACAACATGTTTTCATAATGCCTTGAGTAAATACTTACACACATCTGTACCCTTGATGTTTCTGGCTCGGAGGACTTTCACTGTTAGGTTGTAGTAAGGGTGCTTTTCCCACTGAAAAGAGAGAAACAAGCTCATCATTTAGCTCACTTGCAATGCCTGTTCTGTAACCACACTAGTATTAGACCAGAGAAATGGATCAGAACCAGCCAGCCCAAACTGAGCTATTAACAAATCAGTTTGGGAACACACACAGCACTTTCAGTGTCCTGGAGGACAACTAAAGGAACTTAGAAGGAAACTCAATTCCTTTGTGGCAATGCAAGAGCAATGTCTTAGGGTAACACCTCGTGGACTTCAGAAAGTAAGAAAATCCCCTTATTTAGGGAGTCCTCCAATTATAGATCAGTTTTTAATTGCTTTGTTAGTACATTCTTGCTGAGTGAGAAACAGGTGCTAAAGCTGCTCAAACACACTCATGACAGCTAGTTCAGGAGTACTGGCCAAGGGCACATGAATGCATGAGGAAAAGCAGACATGGCAAGAATCTTAAGAGCAGAGTCTAAAGACATAAAAGGCACACACTGTTTACAATGAGAAAAGAAAACCCAAAATGCTTGCCAAAACACTTCATGGCAGTTTGAGTTAGAAAAGACAAAACTTAAATTCATTTTCATTCTGGACTGCTAACTGGTATCAGCATTCTAAACATGCAGGTCACTTCACCAGCACAGATAAAAATGTAATCCTTACTCTTGAAAGCTTCTGGGAGACTATTTTTGGAAAGCAATATTAGTATCTAAGTGCCAGGATGAGAAGTGGGAAAAAAAAGTCTGACTAGATCCTAGAATATCATGAAGGAGAAGTGGGGGAGGGCAGGGAACAAGAGAGAACTGCCTGAGGTGATTTAGTACAGAAACTGCACAGAAGTAATTGTGTAAGGCTTAGGAACAGAATTTTATTGCCTCATTTTCATCAGTTATGACACAATCCTGGCCAGCTAAGAACTTTTCCTATTCTTAAATCACATTTTCAAAATGCTTTTCAAGAATGGGCATTACTTCACATTCACAATTTTCAACATGGTTAGCTTGAGACCAGAGTTTAATTTTAGATATGCTGAGTAATCACTTACAATTAAATTCAACAATATCTTTGCTTACAACACAATACTGCAGATTGACAAATGAAGCACTGGAAGAGGTTGCCCAGAGAAGCTGTGAATACCCATTCCTGTCCTGGAAGTGTTCAAGGCCAGGCAGGAGCTTTGAGAAACCTGGTCTAGTGGAAGGTGCCCCTGCCCATAACAGCGGGGCTGGAACAAGATGACCTTTAAGGTCCCTTCCAACCCAAACCATTTTTCAATTCTATGATTCTTGAAATATTCTATAAAAATGTTGGGCCTACATATCACTGAGTTGGATCTCACAGAAACCAATGAATCCTGAACTGTTAAACTCTTCTTGAATGTTCCTTATCTGATAAATGGAATTATACTATGTTTGTTAAGCAGTCACATTCTTGGTGAGTCTTCCTTATTTTCCATCTCTTGGGGATACTTGCCAGCTTTTGCAAAACAGGGTTTGAACAACACAATAAAACCAAGGCATATGCAATATACTGAACATTTTTGTATTAAGCAAGCATCATCCATCCTGACCAGCAAGCAAAGAGCAAAAACTACATGAGTCACTTAAGATTTCTCACATGCAGGTACTAAATTAAATTTGTGCAAATAAACTTCAGTTATGCTGCTATTAATCTTAAAGACACTTATTTGTAGAAATGACATGTTGAAGATATTCTTTCTTTTATTTGTTTCTCTGAATAAGACATGCTTTCACAGCTAATTTCACCATGACTTCCACCCTTCAGATGCTAGTTTCTTTCATCTTTAAACCTTTCCTAATCACCTTTCTTGTAGTCAATCCCTGACACTAGTTTCTCAGGCAAAGGCTAACCACCTTTCTACTTCATCAACTCGGGGAATAGATAGAAAGTCAAGATTGTGTATGTTATTCTCACCAACTTCCTAAAGTTCCTGCAACTCTTCTGTTTGTTGAGATATAAAGCTACATAATCACACCCCCAAGGCTGTGAAAGCAGTCTTCATTCACATAGCATAGCTGTTGCTTGGAAATCAGAAACTATCAGAGTAAGCACAGAGCACCATGATGATAGCCTATCCTTCTTTTATTGCACACCATCTGTCAAAATGTACTTACATGCTCAAAAGAAAGTCCTTTCCAAAGGTCTCTAACACCTTCAAATTGCAGCCAGTCATTACACAGCTGAGGGTACATTTTCCACATGCAGATCATAATTTAAGGGCATGCAACTCAACAGAAATGTCACTGTGCTCTCAAGCCTGTGCAATCAATTATGCCAGAACCTCCTCATGTGCCTCTTTTACTTATCTTTTAGCAAAGGCACAACAAGGTCATAGCATGCTGCAGGTGAGCTTGCAGAGTAATGAAGCATGGGAGTATCAGATATGCCCTATCTGAATAATCAGGGAAAAGGTAGGCAAGAAATCCATATGGGAAATGGACAACAAATACTGATGACAGCTCCGCCTGTAGCACTCTGCCTGGCAGCCTACCAATGGATGTGACTGATGCAAGCAGCTAACTTCTGCTTTGCATTTCAGTGGTTTTCAGAATCACTGCTTTTCCAGAGCTCAGGAGTGCATCTGAAGCAAAAAAAACAAAAGCCCCCTTCAAATCCTAAATCCTAAAATGAGAGTACAAGGCTGAATTTTCACATACCTTCGCAAACTGTCTGTACCTTTGGTCTAAAGAGAAGATGCTGATGCAGCTGGAAGTGACTGTAGAACAAGGCATCCCAGCTATAGGACCAGTAATCTTTACTTTCACACAGTCCAGGACACCTGCCTTTATACAGTGGGCAGTAAGTGCTGGGATCCACCCCACAGCACTCAGTGCAGGCAGGACTCAGCATAAGCCTGCCAGATTCATTACAGAAATGCTGTCATAGCAAATAGAAAGACAACTTCTAAGACATATTTTGTGTTCACAGCTATTGGGAAAATTAGGCAGCTCAAAGAAATGTCCAGTTTACCAAAGGAGCAGTTTCTCCCCATCTTATTCCTGCTCCCAAAGAAACACTGCTGCACATCATTCCCTTCCTTGTGGCTAAGAGTCACAAGCTTGCTTATAAAGACCAAGGGAAATCCCTGCCTTACCTGGGCACCCCTTGCACTGTCCCTCCTCCCTCAGGAGACTCGCAGACCCAGCCCTAAGAGCCATTGTCTCCTGGCAGGCAGGACTCAAGTTAGCCAGGACATGAGCAGTGCCAGCAGCTCAGTAACACAACAGCAGTGGCAAACACCAGGTTCACTGTCAGGTTATTGTTGTTTGCCTTTAGAAGTGAATCTAAAGGCAAACCACAATAACCTGACAGTGAACCTGGTGTTCACTGATTGCATTAAATTTACCTACAAAGCCAAAAGGGTGATCTGCTGCCCTACCCCTTGCTCAATTGCTATCAATTAGTCAATACTAAAATCTCTCCCTGCAGCCAGCAAAATTTTGTTAAGTAATGTTAATTTTTTTAAATTTAAACAGCGAGTGCCTGAGGGAAAATATATTGTTTTACAGGTTAATGGAGGTTAACATGAGCTTCTTCTAACCTGATCTCCTAAGTACTAAACAATAATATTAAGAAGTCAACAGGTTTATTTCTATCACACAGCAAGCAGAAGTGCAGAAGGCTATACAAGCAGCAAGTTGTGACAATTAATGGTCACCTCAATTTTATGTTGTATATTGAGGGGTTGGTGTGATAGGATACAACAAGGGTGATCAGCATATAGATGAAATCTCCAGCCAAAAGCTCCTTCATAAACATTTAGCTCAATTCAAAATTGAAGTTATTAGCCTAACCATCTTATACAATGAAATTATTTCATTCTAGTTAAAGGACAAACACCACAAAACCACTTTATCTGTTGTGGTTGCACTGCATTATGAACAGGAGCTGAAGCCATCATTAGTCTTTGTCTGACTGAGACCATTAATCCCTGTAAGGGAAGATAGAAAGCAGAACAGAAGGCAACTGTAGTAAAGGTTATTTAGCAAAAAAACACATGAGCATGATTTTATCTTCACTGATGAAATGTGCAGTATTCTGGACTCTCCCCCCAAAAAAGTACTTGACATCAGCTCAATTCTGCTCCCCAAAACCTAAGGAAACACAGATCCACTCTGGATTTCTTCAAGTAGACCCTAAATTTAATAAAAGCCTGAAATCTCCATTAACATGATCATGAAGAGAAAAGTGTGGATAACAATAAACTTTTTCATTCCTGCAGAAGTGCAGGACAGGTTTTCCATACATGCACAACAAGAAGCCCCTCCTGAGCACATCAGCCAAGGAATGCCATCTCCGAGCCAGCACCATGATTCCTCTTACCCGCCAGTGACAGAACCCAGTGTCTTTCCTCTCCTTCCTTTGGAAAAGCACCGCTGCCAGAAAAGGCAGCACTCTGGGCGGAAATGGGCCCCGCAGCACCTCATGGAACATGGAGAAGATGTCCTGCTGTCTCTGCAGACAGTCTGACAGGGAAAGCCAGAGAGCAAGGCGAGTCGGCGGGCGCCCGGCTGCGAAGCGCTGCTTGCCAGGGGCTCATCCCAGTCTTGCGCAGGACTGGGCTGTGCTCCAGCCGTGAGAGCGGAGGTGTGGCCCACACTTGCCAAACAAGCCGGCTCAAAACCTCGCTGGCAGGTTTTTCCAATATTGCTACAAGATAAGGGCAGCAAAGCAGCACCAAACAGGGAAGCCCTGGGCGGGAGGAGCCACCACTTTGTGATCCAGCCAAGACACCGAAATCCCCAATCCAGATTTTCTTCGAGAGTTCCAACAACCTGATGCACAACTATGGCCATTTCAAATCCTTTTCAGAGCTTCAGTACACCTACCAGTACTTTTAAATAGAAAAAACTGCCATGTTACAAGCCTGAAGTAAAGCAAAGTTTGTCACTGACTGTCACTGTTCAGAGCAGTTTCAGGGAGGCCAGAGCAGACACCACAGTTTGGTCTGCCATAAAATGCCTCAGGGAATATCAACTCCCCACCACATCTCCCCTCTCTGAGCAGCCTGCAGAAGTCTCCCCTTTTTCTTCATTTCCATGTAACGCAGTCTTAATTCTTCCACCAAAAGTTCTCAAAAAAACTTTACAAGAGACAGGACAGATTTTTGTAAGAGTATATCACACCTTAAAAAAATAATTAAGTAGTGAAGGAAATAGTTTACTAAAAGTGATTATCTTATTAGCAGCTGCTGACAGTTGTCTCACTGAAGCATTTTATCAAAGAGCTGAAATTTATAAACTGGAATTGCAGACCAAGTACCAAGCTTTAGTGTTACAACAATTAAAGTGACAGAAAATGTATGAAAGCCAGTAATGCAGCATGTCATCAGCTCCATGCAAACATGAGAATGTGACACATTCTCAGCAAGGTCCCATTCATTAATCATTTCCTGTCATTAGTGTCAGTCACTAGGCTAGAATTTAAGAAAATTAAGAAAAGAATAAGCACTGACATTTCAAACACAAACAAGTCAGCACTAGGTGGTGAATTCACAGAATGAAGAGTCAACACAGGCAAAAACAAACAATGCCATTGTGAAACAGCCAGCAGCTGTTCTTAAGCCCTCATGTCCTACTAAATGGTACAGCAGACACTGGGCTGAAACAGCTATTTCTTTGCTTTTCTACTCACCATTGCACTGACAGCGAAGGACTGAAGCACCACTCCTATGATGAAAGGCTGAGAGAGCTCAGGCTGTTCAGACTGAATAAAAGAAGGCTCCAGGGAAACCTCATAAAATCCTTCCAGTATTTAAAGTGGGCTTTTAAAGAGGGAGAGTGACTTTTTACACTACCAGATAGTGATAGGACAAGGGGGAACAGCTTTAAAGACTTAGATTAGATATTAAGAAAAAACTCTTTACTTAGAAGATGGTGAGGAACAGGTTGCCTAGAGCAGTTGTGGATGTCTCATCCCTGAAGTGTTCAATGCCAGGTTGGGGCCCTGGGGACTTGAATCTAAAATATCTTTAGGGTTCCTTTCAACCCAAATAATTCTATGACTATCATATTAGGTTTTATTTGTCTTCAAATAGATTGTAGAACCATAAGTGTGCTTTTTTTTTTTTTTTTACATTTAATCTAACAGTTTGACTATAAACAAGAAAATTGAGGTGACCTCACAGTACCATGGAGAAATCACACTTATTCTAGTTTATTACAGGCAGTGGATAAACCCTCTACTTTGTCCTGAGTGCCCAACTGCACACAAATCCAGCTTACCTGCCTTCTGACACTCTCCTCTTCCAATGAAATCTCACTTGGCACAGGGATCTAACTTTTACAGAATTTCTCCTCAATCGCTCAAGAAAAACTGAAAGCTCTTTAGAACATATGCTTGAGAATTGTTTCATGGTCAACAACAGATCATTTGCAGTGTCTGTGTGCAGTTTTAGCCATCCACAGACACTGTTGTCTTAATAACAAACAATATCCAGAGAAACTACTTGGTTTTGTTATTTCCCATCAGACTAAGAAAACAAGCAAGCACAAAGACATCAAAAGATGAGGCAAAGAAAGCCTCCCACCTGGTAATTTTACTTCTGCTCTGACTTGTATGCCCATGGGGTAAAGGTAGACATATATCTACATTGCAGTTTTGGGGTTTATCAGAAAGCATTAAACAACATCATCACCAACTATATTATACATTATTTAAAACATGTGTAGATATCACAAGGGACCCCTTTTGGTTGCATTAGCAGCACTGAGATGCAGTATTCAAGTAGAAGAGATAAAAATTTGAAAGGATGCAAGCAAGGATAGGATTTTATTTGTTTGTTGGGGATTTTTTTCGTTTTCTTCATAAACACCAATATACTTAGTTGTTCAATTTATTCATCAGTGACTTGGATGAAGGAGCAGATGCCTCCTCAGCAAGCTCACTGATGACACAAAGCTGGGAGGAGTGGCTGATCCCCCAGAGGGCTGTGCAGCCCTTGAGAAGGACCTCAACAGCCTGGAGAGATGGGCAGGGAAGAACTGTCAGAAATCCAACAAAGGCAAATGCAGGGTCCTGCTCCTGGGAAGAATAACCCAGGCACCAGCACAGGCTGGGGGCCAAGCTGCTGGAGATGCCCCTGCTTGAGCAGAGAGCTTGCAATGAATGACCCACTCTGGGTCCTCCCAACCTGACCCATCCTGTGACTCTGTGAACAGGGAGACCGGAGACTTCATCTGTGCTGGTGAAGTCCATGGCTATAGAATGAAAAAACTGAGGATCTATATTCTACTTCCAACACCAGACTACTCTATGACCTACAGCCCAAGCAAGTGCAAACCTGTGAATCTATAATTTCCTGATTTGGTCACACAGAGCTCAACATCCCTCCCCAGCACAAAATAGTGCAACACCACTCAAAGAAAAAATTTGTCAGTAATTTTAGTGTTCTCTAGAAAGTACGTATTTAATGGTATAATGGTGTAAGACTTGCAAAAACATTATTCGAAGAGATAATTCAAAAGTGGTTTTAGTAAAATTGAGAACATTCACAAGCATGTATAAACTTGTAGATTTAAAAACCTACATTGAGAATTGCCACACTTGATTTGCACATACTAAAGCAAGGGGAATACTGAGATACTGCATTGGGTCTGACTTTCAAGAGAAAATGAGGTCTAATATACGAATAAAAATAAAATCTACATCAGCCCAGAGAAGTTTAACTGCACAATGACTGAAACAGACACTGGTTCACGATATTTATTACAACCTATTGCTTTAGATAAACCTGCTGTATGGTTGGCAAACCCAAAGCACATTGTATGAACCAACAAAAAAAAAAAAAATACAGCACAAGCCACATCTCTGTAAAAGGTATGCAGTGGAGATGAACAGAGGCACAACTTTAGTCTTGTAAGTAAGTGCACAATGAAGATCCTGGTAACAGACAATGAAGGCAAATAAAAATCATACTACCAGTACTAGACATAAGGTACAAATCAGAGAAGCATTGTTATATCTGTACACAAAGAATGCAGGGTCTTTTTAAAACCCTCTCTTCATTCTCTACGACCTGTAAACACAACTCTCCCAACCCATCTTCCCTCTGTACCTGAACTAGCATAGAGAGATCTATACAGCATGTGCAAATCTAGTGTAAGTACTTTTAGGCTCTCTTCTTCAAACAGAAGAAATACAAGTTTAAAAACATTAACACCACAGATTCCCTCTATCCAGCCTCTGCAGAAAGTATTCAATAGCAATACTGCCCAAGACATCCAAGCAAAACACTGGACTAAGAAACCCAGAAGAATGCATGAACAATAAATACAAACACATATGAACAAGGAAAAAACAGTTATCAAGGGAAACTCTTAACACTGGCAAATGAAAGTGAATTAGGACCCTTTTCAGCCTACAGCAGATCTGTTCCTAAAAAAACTCACATGATTTAAGTAAACCTATGATGTTAACTGAGGTTCAACTACACTTTAGGCAGACCAGATTTATTCATCAGCTTGTTCTTTAAGATGTCATACATGGTAGTTACATGTCATGCTCCACACCACTTAATAATGATTTATTTGTAAGTATTGCTAGACCAGGATGTTGGGAGTCAAACAGTCCCTCCATTGGGTTATTTGCTACTGCTCCCTTTTCATTACCACTCCACAGATTCTTTCTGCAACAAACATTTTGTCCCTCATACCAATCTGCTACTGATTAATGTTTCTGAAAAAATAAGTTAGACAAAAATATTGTAGTCTAGAGTGACTATGGACAACTTAGTTCTTGTGTTAAGACTTCTGGCCCAAGAGTAATTTAAGAACAGTACCAGCCTAAACAGAATGCAGTTCTAGAGCATTTCAAATACACAGATGTTGAAACAGTCTGGATTTTACTTCCATGTTGGAAAGTGAACCAGAGACTACAGAATTTATATACAAAAGTCTCAAGCACAGTCCAGAAGCTCAAGCAGTAACTAGAGTCCACTCCTTCCAGAAATTGCTTTACAGGGCGTTCTTTATTTTTTCCTTTGAGTGCAGATGTGAACTTCTTCCAACAGTCTCTGAGCTTCCACTCACACTAAGAGTGAACACAGCCAGTGCAAACAACACACAAGTTAATTCAATTTACAGCTCTCAAACTAAAACAAAAAGGAAAATAAAGCTTCTTAGTGGTATCAATCATTTGTCTGTTTATCTCCTGTGAAAAAACTTACCAGAAGGTCAGGCAAAACCACTGAACATCAATAGAGAGTCCTTTGGCCAGCACTTAAACAATTTCTGTTGCTGAAATATAAGTTACACTTCCTAAGTCTAGAAACAGACACAGAAGCCTCCTCTATAGAAACACCTGGTGATCTCCATGCAATGCTGATATGGCTGCAAAGACTTGCAGGGAATTTTCCTTTTTTGAATAAATACTTACATACAAGGCCAAATCACAACATTGCCACCCTAAGAAAGTACATTTTATTGTAAAACGTGATTTGTGGTGAAAGTCCAACGTTGTCTAAGAGTTCATTTGCAAGGCTGGAGTGTTACAAAACTCACTACAAAAATCAGTTTCTATTCTTCATCTGAGGACTGGGAGGTTCGGTGCAGTTGCCAGCACTGTAACAACATGGTTAAAGTAATTTTCTAGTAAATCAGTATTGCTGGGTAGGTACAGTCAGTCCACAGATACAAATTATTTCTACCCAGTGTCAGAGAACCTAGCAACAAGCCTCAAAAATCTCAGACACAACTTCTTTAGTCATCAGTACTGAATTTCGTATGAATGTTGGGATTATTGACCATGGCAAGGTCAGGTGTCCAGTGTGTTGACTTCTTTGGAGCAGAAATAATGCACAACTATGGCATTAGGGTATCGAGCAAATGCGCTGCAAAGAGAACAAAACACAACCATCAGCTGTCAAGACAAACATTGTTTTCCGTATTCAAACAAGAGCATCCAAGTTGGACAGAATCAGAGACAGACACATGATAGTGACACTTTTTTAAACTATAGCCTGAACATATTAAAGAAATAACAGACAAATGAAGTCTATGGATATTCTAAGAGGTTTGCTTGGAGGTTTTTAAAATCTATTTTCATTTCTGCAGGCACATTTTACTTGGAAGTCACTGATAACAAGTTAAAGACTGAGAGATATGCTTGTCCTTCAAAACCTTGCTGAACTTAACAGCACCAGAAAAATTCTAGACAACCAAAACAATTTTGCATATGCAAATTTCAATTCTGATGCTACGTGCTGCATGTTAAGAACAAAAAATTTAATATGCGTAGCAAAATTTAGACAGATGTTTATTAAAATCTTTTGGGAAAAGAACCTTTCCCTATCATTGTTAATGCTACTCATATCTCAGAAAGGCTCCCATAAAAAAGAAAATAATGACTGAATCATGTAGCACTTCCCTCCAGCTGAAAGGACCAAAAAAAAGTGCAAATAAAATTTTCATTTCATATTAGCTACGAGGAATGGTAGAAGAAAAGTTCACAGATTCACAGAATATTCTGAGTAGGAAGGGACCCACAAGGATAAGAGTCCAACTCTTAAGTAAACAGCCAGTACAGTGATTGAACTCACAAACCT